ACTCGGCCATGTTAAAACAACAAAAAGTACAACACCCGAACTCAGCGTGTTTACCCTCGTAAACCGAGAAGCACATACGTCAGTAATCTACGTTTTTCTACGCAATGAATAGATATGGCCTACGTCGTTCCAGCCATTCGTACGAGTCAATCTACCGGAATCTTTGCCAAAGCGAAATCTAGAACGGTATATCTATATGGTTGCCCGTGCTGCAGGTCTAAGTCCATTCATTCATGAACAATGTGAGACGCCACCGTCGCTGCTGCCGCAAGCTCAATACAGGAAACAGAAGTTAAACACAAGCTTCGTTTACAACTGAGACGGACAAAACAATGGGAGGGCATTAAACCCAAAGCGAACATGCACCAAGGCAATGAACATTGCGATTCTTCTGGCCGATACTCCGGTACCTTTATACAATATGCGTGACATGTTCTACGTATATTAAAGCGGGACGCCGCTTGAAAACAATATACGCCCACTTGTTGTACTTGGCCAATTTAGTTACTCACAGGTTTGTCATATTTTATTCTAGCGCGTCAATGGTATCAAATCATATTCGCGGGCTAAATTATTAGGATTCTTTATAGCATTCGTCGCTTGAGTGCGCGCAGCTTTAGAGCGTCATTTGTCTTCCTTTACGTTAAATAAAAGCGAGCGAGTCATAGTTACTCGAATATAAGTGGGCATACATGACCTAAATTCAATTATCGCTATTATTTAGATTATGCGTATCAAGTATTTTTTTTGACGGGGTATATTAGTGACTATTTATTTATATTAATGTGATGAAGGTAACTTGACTGCTGTCAGCGTCTTGTGTAATTATTCTCCGTACGGCGCGCACGGCATCACAATGAGACGTATCGGCTGGTGGGAAACTACATCGTAACAGGACTAAACGAGTAATATCCCAAATAGTGTATAACTAAAATAATCGTAAATATAAGTACACAGTTGCGGTTCAGCTTTTTAGATTGGACGATTCTTAGAAACCTACAGGGGCCTCCCGCACTATGTTTCCTGGGTCACTTCGCACGCTGCTTTTACCGCCGAATTCTATGTTGCCATAAATGGCTCTCCTTTGTTCGAAATACTCAAAAAGTCATTACATGCAGAGCTCCAGACAGTGTAGCCTGACCAGATGCTCACACTTATTATGATCGGAGTCCTCGTGGGCTAACTTGAGGCCCCAGTTATTCGAGTATTCGAAACTCTGGACGCAGCACGTTGAGACAAATACGGCGAAATACCGATTGATAATCACCGTGTTTCGCATATATATAATATAGCTACTTAGGCAGTTAGAGATCTAACGGTATACCTAAGAGGCTATGATGAGGTCCGTGAATCAAACTTGAAGAATATGTACAAATGTTCTGTTTGTGGTTAAAATGTGTCATAGTTTCCTGCATATATATATATATATATCTATTTTTTTCCGTTTTTTGTGTCTAATTACGACCCTTGGAATTTTCGCTTTTAGTGTAATATCATACACCAAAGAGGACACAATTCCTTAATATGAAATACTAGATGCTATAAATATCGCCGCCATATGCGTCAACGGGAATATTTTTCTGTTAATTCAACTTCTACGATGGTGTTGAGTACCAGGAGACTTCACGGAGCTTGAAGTCAGCCATCACCTCTTTGCTTAACAGCTAAGCATTATAAAATAAACAAGACTGAGACTAGAAACAAGCATTGATGATGTCTAAGGAGTCCTGAATCATTTATGCCTATTATAATATGTTTCCGACCAGCCAAAAACTCTTATCGTGGTAAGAGTAAGTTGGCAACTGAGCTGCGACGTTCCCATGGTTTGCCAAAAAGGTTGGCAACCATAATTCGCTTGTCAAAACGCTTGAGGCATTTAAGCCGTCAGCGTGACGAACTCTGAAGTCACGGAGCTTGTGGGTTCACTGACGTGGTTCGCATGTGGCTAGTGAACAAGTGTTCCCTTAATGCATACGCGCTCTTTGTATGTATGTGCATATGGAGTAGGCAAAGTTCTTCGAAGGGTACCGGACACTGTGGCAGTCTGATCTGTCTTTGCCTCCCTTCACCTACCCAGGTGAGATCGTTAGCAGCTTTTGCTATGACTGGCGCAATTGTGATGCCATCATTGCCATCACTAAAAAGGTCTGTAATCACTGCCGCTATTACTGCTACTCACAAGAAAGCAGTCATCAGTGCAAGACCGTTCTTCCCACGGATGAACTCCGAGGCTGAATTCTCGACGACCATTGACTCGTTCTACTTTTCTTTCGAATGTTCCCCTGCTTACACTTTTTCTCTCACTTGCGGTACTCCCGTTTCTGTTGCACTGCCAGTACATTCAATGCTGCGCTGGCCGATATCCTGGTAACACCGTAGGCAGTGACCTGAACCTTCGGTGGCTGTGGCTCCTGCCTGTACCCGCTCGCTGTTGACTTGTGTATGGGAAGGCTCAGCGGCCGTTCGCTCTAGGTACAACTAAAATTGGCGTAGCCACAGCAGCAGCAGGCAGCCTACTGTCGTTGCTGTGCCGATCAGCGCATGGCCTATCTCGTAAAGGTTCTCGGTGCTTGCTCAGGATACCCTAGGTTAGCTGTTCTTACCTTCCTTTGCTCTTCTTTCTCATCGGCGTCGTCGTCGTTGTTGCTGCCGCCGCAACCGATCGTTTAACGATAATTCGCACTGGCCCCATTGGTCCACCTTTGTGCCGACTCTCCATCGGTCTTCCTTATGACTACGCAGAACGAAATGTTCAGGCGCGGGCGTCCGCGTCAGCGGCGGCTGACGATCACCACCACCGCCGCCGCTTTCAGCTTTCTCAATGAGGGAAACATAGCAGTCAATGGACGACAGTTATGGCGTAGCAAACAGGCGCGCTCTGAACCAACAAAGCCACAGGCCGACCAACCAACAGCTGCTATTCCGCCTCTTAGGAGTGCGCTGTTGTTCACAAGCGAACGCAGAAACAAAGCGAAATCTCTTAGCGAAGTCTCCCTGCCCGTTCGTCACTGACGCTTGGCGTTACCAGGAGTTCATATTATTATTATTATTATTATTATTATTATTCGTACTTCAACACGGCAGATGGTGAAGCTTGCGGTCTTGTAAGGCTATTTTAACTAATTATCACATTGTTTTGCCACGAATTGCAAGAAACTGTGCGTAATTAGTGTCGATTAGAGTTAGTCGAGGATAGGGTACTGCAGTAAGACCAAGGGTGGACTCCACTGTGGTTGAAAAGAATAATTTCGTGCTTGTTCATAATCAATAATAGTCAGTTAATCGCCGTCGCTGAAGGATAAAAAACTGCTGGCGGTAAGGAGACGATATTTGTCGCTGGCTTGAACGACGAGGAAAGGCACCGTGGTGGGCACGTAAGCGTCAGTGTTAACCGTTATCGGTAAATCGGAACCCTTCGCCACATTAGAAGTGCTAGATCGGAAAAGACTAAGGTGCAATGGCTGCGCGTCCATGGGAAGTGCAGCAGGAGCTGGTAACCGGGATCCAGGGTTTTGCAAAAGCTAAGTTACGACCCACCGTCACCAAGGAAAAGATCTATGTGCCAACTAGGGAAGGTCTGTTTAGTCGTTAATTTGCTCGGTTAGGTAGAGGAACTGGCTAGCATATAAGAGCTATCAACAGTGTCTAGAGCGATTAAAATGTTAGAAGGCGTTAAAAATATTAGAATAGACGTAGATAGGCATGCTTTTTAATACGTATATCAAAGAGAAATTCTTCTAAGAGTTTTAAATTCTTCTTTTGTGTTGACACAAATCGGTATAGGTCTTGATGATTAGGCCTTACGATATGGAAAAGCGCGTAAGAGATGACTTGCGCTAAAACTGGCCAAGGCCTAGGAAAGGTGTTTGCTTGACCATTGACGTCAAATTGCACTAGGTCTTTTAGTGATTATTGAATGTATTATAGCAGGTCCCATATGATTGAGTTTTTACTAAATATCGTGACTAACTTAAATTTATCATATAAACTGTATTTCAATAAATGTTAAAATTTTTTTCCGATAAATCAAAAACAGCCATCAGCTCAAAATATTTTCGACCGTCAACCTTAAATCGTTACACTTTATTTTTTAAGGGTAAGTTAGTATTTTGCAATCGACCTGAGGGCTTAAAGCCGACTTCTAACTCTGACAGTCACCCATTGATTGTTGTGGCGCATGAACGAGAGCGATCAAAGAGAACCTCAATGTACAGATAAGCGAAAACTAGCGCTAATGAAGAGTGAGCTGCGACTGCGTGGTGACGCCCAAACTAGCACCTACCTGAGAACTGCTTCAGCATAAAAGACAACGAAAAGCACCAAAAATGGCAACAGATAGCGGCGTATGTCTATATTACTATCTGCTGCCATGCAAATGTCTTTCTTCCTGGCATAAAATACAAACTGTATTTTTTGATTAGGTACATTGACAGACTACACGTACTACCTGTATTCTAATTCAATTGTTTTAGCTAGAAAGCTCTAGGCACAAGGAAATAGAAAAATTACAGGGCGAAAATGACACAAAGAACCTATTCGCTTACAGTATCAGCAATCTGTATAATGAGATTGTCGTATCATTAGTGGAATGTCTGTGCTAAGCTCCCAGGAGCTTCTTCCTTTTGAAGTACCAAGTGGTGCTGAAAGATGTTTAGCCGGATTTAAAAATTCCTTCAAAGCCCTGCCGGGGCAGATATTACAAGCATTGTGGAGTGATTTCCATTCATGCCAAATGTATTTTAGAATTGTTTTTCTTGTTTCTAAGGCCACACGGATCGTTTGTCGGTTCGAAAAACTAAGTGAGAGCTGAGCGCTACTTTTACATACTGTTAGTACTGCTAGTCGCATAAGCAGATTTTTGAAGGGTTTTTGTGTGCATAATAGATGTATATCTATCTATTCAAGGCGTAGTTCTGTTCAACCTGTTCCACTGTTTCTGGTCCACTGTTTGGCGTCTAATGCGGTGCTGTTACATTTGCGTTGTCTCATTTTCTTTGCAGATATTGAGGCCGAGAAGGGTCACAACGAGATGGTCGATAGTATCCAGAAATTTGACTCAAAGTCACTGAAGCACACTGAGACCCAGGAGAAGAACGTTCTTCCTACAGCTGAAGTGATTGAGCAGGAGAAGAAGGAGGGTGGGCAGTAGAGCTAATCTTGGCGGATTGCCCTTCTGTCGATGGTTCGCCACCAAAAATCCCGAGATCAATCATCCCCAGCAAAGATACCATCAACCAGGGAAGATGCGGTGGCTGACCGAGCAGAGCTAGCACACGGGACGTCTGCCGGAAGTCTGGCAGCGCCTCTAAACGGTTTCGAGAAGATGAGAGGTCGTCGATTCAATTTTAGATGGTCATTTTTTATACCTACACAACACAAGAAAAAGGAACAGTTGTACCCAATCGATTCATCGTATAATATAACATATAGAGTCCGGACAAACACTACCCTATCAGTTACTCTGCCCTGTAGACCAGGCGAAAGGATAAAAAAAAAAACACGTACATGGGATGATGATTTTGTTTATCGAAAGTGGAGACTCATAGACCCAATTAAAGCGAACTATATCTGATCATAGCACACCAACGACCTATCAGCTGACTCGTCACCCATTAGCATTCACAACTAAAAAAAAAAGTAACAGATAATTATTTGCATGCATAACTAAGATAAACACAACAAAAAGCGACCGAAGGTGATCATGATCTATAGACATTGATGAAAAGCGTGTACCATGATAATAAGAATAAAAATAATAATGATGGTTATAATGCTGATGACAATAATAATATTGAAAATGTGGTGACGAATAAACAAATGAACGAGCAACAACAACCATAGCAAACGAACAATAACGGTAAAAAAGAAACCTTGAGCATGCCCGCCAAATCCCCGACTCCCACCAGAATCCATACCTCGAAATAAAATTTATTCAGAATGACGGACGTATTCAAAAATCAGCAGAAGGCAAATCGGAACACAAAGCCAGCCATCATAACAACAACTACATCATCAACTATCAATAATGAAAAAGCAATGAAACAATGCACCCGTAAACCGTCTCGTATGCCCATCAGTAGCGGGCAATTCCCGTCGCATACACGTAGCATACGAACGTTGTACGCCGTCATAAAGCCGAAATCACACCCTCACGGGGATATTCCAGAGGGTTATTTGCCCTATTTTCTTTCCATACGAGTGCGACATTTTCAGGTTTGTGTACGGCTGTCTGCGGCGCTGTCCAAAAGTTATTTTCAGGATAAACAGAAAACAATATAGAGACAAGAAGACAGACGAAATTGCTTTTGTTATTAGTGTAATCACTTGTTTTGATGAGCGTCCTTTTATAGGCCAGAGCAAGCGACTACGACGGCGATTTTGATGGCAAAACATTATATAGTAAAGAACCGAACGTTAACGTGTCAAAAAAAAGTTGCCAAATGTGAAGCCAACTTAAAAAACAATTCAAACACAACCAAACGACATCGGCGCAAAAACGGCGGCGTCGATGAAGATCATGTAATAATAACGACAATAACTTTAAATGGAACGCAAATGGAAGAAAACATCCCCACTAAATAGAAATAGCATTTATAAGGATCATTATCACTACTTTCAACACTAGAAAAATATTTGATAATGATAATAAAGATTATACAAACGAAAACAATACGCAAAAGAGTGAGTGTGGGAGGAAGGGAACGTAGATAATAATTATAATAATAAGACGAATGAAAGAAACCAATGCGAAAAACCCAAACAAATACATACAAGAAAAGATTATGATAATGATGATGTAAATTATTTAATAATAACAATAATATTAATACAAATATTACGAATAAATCAACAGATTTAAGTTAAGTTTTTTTCTGTTATGATGCAACTGTAGCTCTGAATGCAATTCGCAATACGCGTCTATTAATAAATAGGATATAGTAAATATAATTAATTTCGAGTCTAATAAGAATCCTCAGTAAGTCTTTTAACCAATTGAAATTACTTGTATATGAAGTGCTCCAGCGTTTAATGACTAGATTTATGGGAGCCATCGAATCATATTGAAAACACATGGACGGCGTTGAGTACCATTTCGTGAAAGACTAAGCACGCTAAACCTAATAGCCATTGAAGAGTAAAGTAATAGATTGCGCACTAATATATATAATACTTATGATAAAATCTAAGTAATATGTTGAGCGTACTCGACTGCCCTTATAGATATATAAATCATGAATTAACTATCCGATGTTATAGCTAACCGAACAGTTTACGCTAGAATCACGCGTAGTGCCAGCAAGTCCGCTACTCAAGCCGTTAGGCGTCACTTCGGACGGCGGCCTCCTAAAGTAAAACGTAGTATATACATACGCTCGGATTAGAGATTTTGTTTTGCGGCTTAAGAAGTAAATCACAAAAGCTTTCGTTCGCAATCTAAAGAACTGCTTTCTCGTCCTTATTGTCATTATTGTGAGACTTGTTTCGTTAGGGGGTTCGGATGCCACAGGCGGTCGCTTCGACTTCCAAACTGTGCGTGCACAATTCAATTGTTATAATTGTTATAATATTTTACCATGTGGCACCATATCGGCACTCTATAATAAAATGTAGCCATTTTCCCATAGAACAAAATTCAACAAATAACAATGGCATCGAGTTCCGGCGTATTCCAAACGTACGCGCATGTAACGCTCAAAGCGTGAATCTCAAAGCATCGGCATTCTGTTGTTTGATATTTGTGCCGGCCTGCTGAAGATTCTGATGATCATTTTTTGGATGATCGCTTGCAATAAATTGCCGTTCAACTTATCTTTGCAATCCATATATTGCAGCCGAGATAGATAAAAGCAAATGCGTACCAAGTACTTCCGCCTCTATTACCTTTAATGTTTCATTCTAATCAGCACGCTTTCATCAGCTACAACATTCAGTGACAACTGCTCCATAACAATTTAGACTGGTAAGACTCCTGAAATAATTTTATTTTTGTTTTACTTAATTTCTGTCCGCTTTTCTTTAACTTTATCACGTTTAAAACCTTCTCGATTTGGCTAGACCTGGCTGTTGTCCCCTCGATTAGCGCTGGAACCCTATATGCTAATTAAATAAAGGCACAAAATAATTAAAATGCTTTCAAAATTACAATTGAGAGTTATGAACGTGTTCAATTAATGTATCTGCATATTTGTCTCATTTCGAAGGCATATATACTAGTATCCGTTATTGTTGTACCGATTCGCGGTTCTGATAAGTTTATTAATGAATACTGAATGATTTTTAGAGATAATTCAAAAAAGTTATTTTTTTGTTGGAAAAAAAATTGGAATAAGATTCGTTTACTATTGTTTTAATCACGAATTCGATTGGAGCCTTGCATGGCGTAATATAGATAGTTTTTCTCTATTACTGTTGCTGGTTTCGGCAGATTATGATTTTCTATGAAAAAGCCGCACTCAAAAGTGTCCGACTGTTGCTTGTATCAAAAAGCATTTATAATTTTGTTAAGAAATGATGTTTGTCGTATAACAATGTGTATAATTAGCCCGGCAGGAAACGGCAGGAAGTTTTGGTTCCATAATCGATATATTAAGCTAAGTAAAAAATGTTTGTCATTTTATTATAACATCTGTAGCATATATATATATATATATGCATATACCGAACAGAGCATACCGTGTATTTACAGGTAAGATCAACTCTACTTGTTAGATAGAATAAGTTCATTTATTCATACAAAGTGTATGGCTTTTAGGTGTTGCGTTAACCAATCTAAATGTTTAAAGTTTTACGTTTTCTGCTGCGTTAACCATTGCTTCAGACGGTTGGCCCTCAGCGTGAACCAGAATGGTTTCAGACCTACTCTTGAGTTGAGTCTACCTGTCAGTTAAATAAATCTTGCTCCACCTTCGTTGTTTTTTTAAATTTCCTCACGTATCAGCTAATACAGAAGACTCAATCCACGTGCTCCGTAATGTGACAAGGTCCACCCTGGGTAGTTTCGATTTCTTCTCTGACTGCACCACTGTCCATCCAGTTACCCAATTTATGTAAGCAGCGGCGACGGCGGCGTTGGCTATACTCATCCGTAACAGCAACCGTCCCAGCCGAAGCTGAACTCTCCGGTCTCTGCTGCGTTTTTCGACGCGGGCACCGATTCAAAGCGAACAGACGACAATCCAGCCATTCTGTCATTGCCAGACCCAACGAATAGCGAGTTCAGCGTAGAGTCATTGCTACCCAGTAACAGTAGCACAGGCAGTGGAAATCGAATCGGCCCATCAACTAGAAAGCAGGCATGCTATTCAGTTGGCTACAGCTAACGGTGACTGCCGGCCTGCATTATTGTGCTTGTTGTTCTTACAGGAATGGTCGTTCGTAGCTGGTTATTGTTAAATAAAGAAGGTGTATCTGTAGAGATCACTGCGTGTGGGGCTTGTCGGCTGCGTCAGTTTGCCTTACCACCTGCCGCTATTATTGCCTGCGTTGCCTTTGCCTGCTTCGCTTATTTAGCACTCCGTTTTTATATGTCGTTTTCTGGCAGAGCGTTAGCAGGGGGAGCCGCTAGCAGTGGTCTGCCAAAATAATAGGTGTTGCTAAACCGCGCGACAAGCATAGAGTATGAATTCTAAAGGAGTGTTCTCTACGTTCTGTGTCATCTCTCTTATTTTTTGCCACCAAATATAGAGAGACGCAGACTAGGAGCACCAGGACGTATCTGTGTGGGGGCCAACCTATACAACACTCCGCGGCTACTGGCGCTCCTGTTTGACGTTCTCGTTAATATCGTACTCAACCAACGTTATAACCAATAACACTGCTCCTGTTCTTGTTTATATGTTTACGTGTGTCTGACGGGTGTACGTATTTCAGTGAAATCGTAGCCATCTGTGATATTTGCGACCAAAAACAGCTTGCTGTTTTACTATCGCCACCTGTATATGTGATTAACACGTCTCTGTGTGTGACATCACCGGAAATAAGAGCCAGAGTGAAACTCAAAAGAAGCAGATTCTTACAATACATGCAAGGAAAAAGAGTGTAGTGCTTGTGTGTGTGTGCTTATATGTAAAAAAATGTTTATACCGTTATTTTATCTATATGTGACGGCGAGATGTTACTGAGAAGCTAAGGTGGAGTCCAGGTGATGAAACGGCTGAGTGTACTTACGATAACGACCGTGCAAACTACAAGCTCGTGACCAAGACGACGACAATTACAACGACGATGACGACAGTCGTAAGGGCAATAATGGAAGTACCGTAGCAGTGGCGGCAGTAGCAGCTCTATTGAACAGGTGAACTCCGCCTTGGGCTGGAACAAAGACAGTAGTGGAGGCGGTGTAGAAGGCATTCGAATCAGCCGTCTAAGAGCAGGTTCGGAGAGAAACATCAACTGGCAACTGTGTTTGCTGTAAGATGATTACCGGAATGCAAAGCAACCTGCTAAATCCGAAGGGATCCTCGAAGAGACGGCCATCAAAGTTGGGCCTTTTCAGGTAAGGACTCCTGCCCTGTTCCTTTTTTTAGACATGTTTCTGGAAGTCAAGCAACGTATGTAGCTATTTAGCGGGCCAAAAATTTCGAACTACGTAATATTCGCAGACGAGATGCGGCAGATAATTATATAAAGCCTTTAGTTACATTCAATTGAGTGTCAGAGATTAATGTGTATATAGGTAAAGATATCGTTAGGGTGCCGAAGATGAACGCTCACTGATTCAGTACTCAAAGGTCAAAGTACAGATGGAATCTACCGAAGGTTCACGAAAGTGCATTGGCATGGTCTAAGACAACTTGAGTACTTTTTACCAGCAAAAAACCTGTGTGGAACGCACCGTAGCTGAGTCAATCAATGCCGCCTATCAGTGTGGGATTAAGCGAAAGAATGGGCTTGGGAAAAGGGAATGTGAGTCCATTGACAGTGTTAAATAGATCTGATGCTCATCCTCGTAAAGTGTATCAAGAGCAATTGCTATTACTAGACATTGCTCGAAAAAGAAGAAAACACTTATATTCTCTAGATTTAAATCTGTGTAATTTTGATTGCTTGTATGCCTTAAAAAGACAGTAGTTGGCTCGGAGAATGACACCGCTGCTGATAAGCACCCGGAGCATTGGCTTCAATGCATGAAGGGTAAGGAAAGGGGGTATTTGAGGTACGAATAAATATCGTTTTTTTTTTTGCCTTATACGGTTTACCAGTTATTTAAAATTTCTGGGTCACAAAATACTTTCGGACAACATAATGATGGCGATCTAGATTTGTACATTTATGTGCTTAAACACAGAACTTCACAGTAATTCCCAGCCAATTTGATTCGCACCGCAGGTGATTTTTATGTTTTGAAAAACTTTCTTACAACTACTGTGATCCTTATGACGTTTCCAAAGACGTACGACGTATAGAAATGGGTCTCGATTCAAATCTGGGCCTCAGTAGGCATGGCAAACAGCAGCTGCATCTAGAGAGAGATCTAAAGGTCGTATTGATCATTTAGTGAAATTATCACGAGGATAACTACCTGCAGGGCCAGTTTTGGTAGCTTTGAACCTTTTGAGTCGCAGAATGTGTTTAACCAAAATGTAATCGTCAAAGTAAAGGCGATCAATCCTTTACAGTTAACCATTTTTGTCACATTTGT